ATACGCGTAATTTAACGCACAACGCGAAAATTAACGTGGGAATTTCCGACGAACGGGAGAAAAAAAGAGGGACAGATCAGCAGCGCCTCCTCGCTCGCGAAGGAAACGGAAACTCCTCGCGTTCGATCGAGGTGTCTACCATGATAACGTATTGATAGTGTGTCGTCTGCCTACGGTTATGTGGTCTCTAACTCCACTAATTGCAATTATAAAAAATATAAACAACGTGGGTAATTTATTACATAATAATGTCACACGAGGGTGGCTTCCAGGCCTTAGAAGATGAGCACAGAGGGCGGAGGGCGGAGGTGTACCCTCGGTCCTTACCGCGGCATCAGTAATCCCGCGACGATCAGCACGGCACACGGTCCTAACGCTATACTTCCGCTCGCTGGAAAAAGAAAGAAAAAGGAGAATGAAAGTGCTGCACGGCGCGTGCCTCGCGTAAAGAAAAAAACGAAGAAGAAGGGAGAGACCTTTCATAAATATTCAGGGAGAATTTAGAGTTTAAACTTTGCGCTCAAATTGAAGCTTAGTTAGGCGAGTTTAGCCGAAACGATTTCGCGCTTATAAGCGCGTCGCAAAAAGAGGAAAGAGGAAAGAAGAAGGAGGAGAAGAAGAAGAAGAAGATAACGAAATGGCCGAATTAAAAGGGATTGACAGGAATTCGTTGCGCGAAATTGGATTCTTAATCTTGCGATCGCGCGCCTCTTGGCGCGTCCGGCGCCTGGCAAAAAGCTTCAAATTCCTTAGCGCTTCCTTAGCCGCGCTTCTAAAAACTTGTGCTTTGTTGCGAAACGAGTTACGTGTTTGTACTTTGGCTTTCGTGCTATGGTAGAGCCAACACAGCGTATCGGCAAAATGATGTTGAGTTGCTGAACTATCCGCGCGTCACGAGTTGCAGGAGTTAACATTGAAAGGGCCAGGAACCCATTATTTCGGCGACTGAACCCTTCTCACGCAGCCACAAAGCCTCCTATGCCTTTTTACGGACTTCTAATCAATATTAACGACGTGGAACGCGTATTGAAGAGAAGAAAAAAAAAAAAGAAAGAAAAGGAAAGTCACTTTTCCTCTCGCTCGCCTCGGAAAGCGATTCTTATCCCCCTTCTCTCGTGGCTGCGATACGGGTAATGGTGCTTCTAGACAGGTCCTCGTCCCGATCCTTCTGATATCAATGTAAATAAGATGTCACTTAGCACGGTCAACATCTTGACGGGCTGGTGCTTGTATCGCCTCGAAACAATTTAAGGAGCACTTGGCCCGATCTCTCGAGCGCTAAGTGTAGTAAATAGAATTCGACCCGGTTAAGCGATCGCTTAATCTCACGTTCGTCGAGCCCCGTCGTGTACAATTTAATCCTCTTATTTTCGCGATGTCCTTAAACAACGACAGAGAAAAAGAGAGAGAGAGAGAGAAAGAGAGAGACGAACGTTAACATCGAAGGAGATATTTCGATGAATGTTAAGGTAAAAGTATTATCAATGCACGCACACTCTACCTAATCCTGGATATTTTTATCGTTTTGGCCCTTATGAATATTCAAACTTTCAACATAAAATATATTCTATGCTGAAAATTTAAGTGTACTTGCATTTAAAGACTAAAACGACAAAAATGGAATTAGATGTGCGTCCGGGAATTGATACTTTTACCTTGCACGTTAAGAGAAGAATCGGAATGTTACAGATTATATTCTGAGAAATGTATGAAACTTTGAATATTGAGAATTTCAAATGTTGAGAAAAAGATATCCATTTATATCAACAATGTAAAATTTCTAAGGAACAATTCTTGGTTTTCTTGTCATTCATCTACTTATTTAAAACAAAAAATCAGTCTATAGCTCTCACTAGATTCAGCAAAGGTAGTCGAATTAAAATACGACGCAGGGGAAATCAGCGTTACACGCGGCGGAGTATAGCGTTCCGCCCTCGTCATCGCCGCGTCATCTACCCTCGGTCCTTGGCTAAGGTTCTCTCTCTTTCCCTTCTTCTCCTCTTTTTTTTTTTCTTTTCTCCCCTTTCCTTTTTACCTAGGATATGCTCGGCATGCGTGTGCCCTTGCGCCCTTGTCTCCCTGCTCTCCATTACCGGCATCTTCAGGGGCCTCTCACCCTCTATGCTGAGCTCATTCGATTTCCAATATACGGTCGCTATCATCGCCAGGCATTTGATCTTCAAGTCTCCCTTCTTGAAGTGCTTCGGGCGCAGACGGAACTCCAGACCGAGCGTGGTAGTCTTCAGACCCTCCCGGTCCGCGTCGGTGACGTGGGGCCCCTTCACGAACTGCATGTCGACCTAATCGAAGTGAAGCGGTAGTGTATACTCTCTCATGGACGACGACTACGTCTACGACTACTGCGAACGACGCGGAGAAGACGGCAGTTTCTCTCGCGGAAATATTTGCAAGTCGTCCGTCGAGTCAATGTTTAATTCTGTGGCCAGTGGGCTCACATTCTCCTCGTGTCTCTACCTTTCTATCGCCCGCGCGGGTTATATTTAATTCTCTGAGAGACAGTGACGGCGCCGCGGCGGACGCTCATTAATTCTGAACGCGGGGCAGGATGCACTACCGGAAGTGAGGAGGAAGATGATGTGCCTTGGCCAGCGGAGGTGGCTGACGACCTCAAAAAAAAAAAAAAAAATCGAACGAAGAACGGACATCGTCCATCCAGAGATTCGCGCGGCCATAATTAATTAATCGTCCGGAGTTACTCTCTCCAGCCTCTGCCAGATATATTGTCTTATTTTCCGCTTTTGTGCCTTCAATACGTAATAACGTCGTCGAATTAAATGCCGTTATCTGTTTAGTCCACTTCTCGTTCTTGGAAAATTGACTCTTAACCCATGCGCGCTTTCCCCAAGAGCACTACGTAAACTTTTAATGGCGTTCGGCGGAAGATTGCTATCAGCCCTTATTACGTCTTGTTACAATGCCCGCAATCAGAATTAAAGAGCATCTTTAACACGCAGCGTGTACCGATAGCGTTAATTGCACGAGTTTCTCAATATTACACTTGCTTGATGCGATGGTGTTTCCATTTTTTCATAGAGAAGCGAGTCTTGGTTAGAAATTTATTCCATGCTTTTGATTAAGCTGATTCCAATTAGTTATCTGTTTTGTGTAAAATGTTATTGGTTCAGTCTTTTAACGTGACGTGGCAATTGGAACTTTATTAATAATAAGGAATAAAAAGAATCTTATTAATAATTAGGATTTATTGATAACTAGGATCCGATAATGTCACTTTATACAAATCATAATAAGCTTCCAGTCGAGGAATCTCATATATTTTTACCAATCGACCGAGAGAAGTTCAGGTGGGCTTGATAATTGCGAATTTACGCGGTTTCCCGGTCGGAATAATGGAAGCGGACGTTATCCCTTAATCGTAAGGTTATTGGTTCCGCGGGAGATCGCCCGATTAATGCGTAATTCAGTTTTAACAAGCCGCGAACTAATGCGAGCGCGCGCTAAAACACTAATCAGGCAATTTCGCCGCGAACGTGGCGGCGCAACGCCCGAAGATTAATTATCCGAGAACCAATTATTTGTTCGCGAGCGAAAAATGGCGGAAAAACAACAAATAAGTAGGAAAAAGGAGGGGGAAAAAAATGAGCGCGGCGCGCTCGCGAACTCGCGCGCGCGCTACGTGCATTTTGCGAAATTAATTCTCGCGCTTTGTTAGCGAGTAATCGCGAGTCAACGGCACGTTAACGGCCGACGCGGCTCGGCGGTCGCGCCGCGACGCGACGCTACGGTACGTTTGCGCATTATTTTCCGCGAGGAAGCGAAATCGCCGCGGCTTACTGCCGCGATGGGAAACTTTTGACAGCCCTCGAGAACTGTTACGAGCCATCCCACCACGTCGCACCGGTAATACCAAACTGCGCTCTTACGGGCGTAGGAAACCTCGTAACTCGTGTGTCACGGCGGCGGTAAAACATGATGTATTACAAGGAAGGCGTCCTTATTAAGCTACACGAAGGTTCAGCTTTGTCATCGGCTCGGGCGACTACCCTACGGCATTTCGCAGCCATATTCCGCGATCGATATTCGGCAATCGAGTCGACAGATCTGGACGCCCAGATAGGCAGATGTACATACATAAATTTGGCAACAATTTTATTGAATAATTTAATAAAAATTGCGCCCTTTATGAGTGGTTCATGTGACATTTATTTCATATGGTACTTGTCGCATAGAGTAACAAAATACGAAAAAAAAAAACGATTAAAACAATTCTCAAAACAATATATGCAAAATATAATATAAAAATCTGAGTATAACTTTTAGCTAAATGCTGTTTTGCATCAATGTAACCAAAAATTTATAACGTTGTATGATGGAAGTTTAATGATTAAGTCAATATGCAATATATATGTCTCAAAAGTTTAATGAAAAAAATTGCAAAATATACACTATCGATTGTCTCACGTCGTGAGAAATAATCATGAAAGCCTATCTGGACGTCACCTTGACGGAATTTCAATGCGACTATCACTCGAATCGTGTAATCGCAGCAGGGAGCCGCGTAAATTCGTGATTAACAAGCCTGACCCGCTCTCGATCGATTAAGAAAAAGAATATGAAACTCGCTTCTTCATAAAGCGACGGAAACGTCGCGTGCAAGTGTAATGTCGTGACATTATACGGAGAGATTCTTGTAGTAAGAATTACTATAGAATTTTGCAGTTGAGGAACAGAGATTGACATTTCCAGCAATAACTGACTATACTCTCATTTCATGTGTACTATTAATATGTTCGCTATCCACGTCATGTATGTATGAGACTATGTGAGCGCCTGATCTCTCACTAAAGACCGAGTCCTTTAAATAAACCGTGATAGTGAACGTGTTGAAAGGTTTGCTGTGTTTCTAGCGAAATTTTCTAGATTCCTTAGCAAGACAGATCTTACTGACGGTCTATTCCAGCACTATTAGAAACAGCGAAATTGGAGAGAATTTATATGAATAGAAAACCGTGATATTCCCTCCGCGGTGTATCCATGTCGTCGTGAATAACGCGAAGTTAAATGAAAACGTATAATTTCCCATTTCAGATTATCCCGAGCTCTGAGCACGATCGAATTCTCGAGCGGGGCGCGATTCCCGATACTCTCGACCTTCGGCAAACGGTATGAGACTTTCAATTTTTGATTGGAGGAAATTAAGGAGAAGCGCGATAATGTACTTGTTAGTTACGTAATGCGATAATACTTACAGTTACATAATGCGATTAGTCAAAGAATCCACCGATAAAGCTGCCTCTTAGTTACTCTCTCTCTTTCTCTCCCTCTCTTTCTCGTTATTCTCTCGTTTTCGAGCGACATTCTGCGTAAGAGAACGCGGATCCCCCGACCAGTCTAGTCGGATTTTCCGAGATCGCGGCTTATCATGAACGTCGCGAAGTTTTACGCTTCCGACAGTCTGTGACGGTTACGGTTTCACGCAGAGGGAGAGTAAGAGAGCGAGACAGACAGACAGACAGATGGATAGGTAGATAGATACAGCGAGAGAGAGAGACACACGCTGCGTGTCTGAAGCACTCACTGGGTCGGCGTTGATGAACCAGCTGAGTATGGCAGGTGGCTTCGACTTCGCCGAAGTGCAATTGAACCGCACGACGTCGCCGACTTGATAACGATGTTTCCCGGGTCGCGTCGTGATAATGGGCCCCTCCTCCGGCAGGGCTGGAAATACATACGAAACGCTCATAAATAACGCCACCGTCGCCCGCTCGCCCCAACCCTTCTCTCTACCTTCCTACTCCTCCTCCTCCTCCTCCCCCTCTTGTCCCGCACGTCCCTGACGCTTGCGGCGGTGAACGCGCCGGCGAAAGGGACACGTTCCTTCGATTAATTCGAGTTCGCGAACGGGGCTTTTAACTCGCGCGCCCGCGCGAATATTTTAACGCAAACGCAACGTCCCATCCGCGCCGTGACCCGTAATTTTGTTGCGGCGCCGCTTAACTTGTTTACGCTTACCGGCGCGGAAATTTTAATGGAGTAACACTTCGCCGTAATCATCGCACTCGATGTAACGCGCTTAACTATATTGACAGGCCGGATATGTATAGACGCGCGCGTTGTAGCCGTTTGACTGGGATATCTTTCTCTCTCTCTCTCTCTCTTTCTGTCTCTCTTTGTCTCTCTCTATTTCTCTTGTCGCACTGTAAAATAAACAAATAGTCTTATCTAATAGACCTTCGTGATTATCACGATGGGTGGCAATCAATAATGGAAAATGTACAGTTCGTTTAATTACACTTATGAAATGAATATATTGTGTATTGAACTAACGATTACATTTACATCATGCAATAAGATAAATTTCGTGTTGGACTAATGCAGCAACAAATTTACCAAAAGTTTACATTTTCATATTACACTTAGGGCCAATTGTTCCAACTTTTTGGTAAGCTATGTGACATTTAAATCATATGTCTGTCTTCGTTTTTTCTTCAAATTGGACAGAAACAGACACACATGATTTAACTGTCAGGTAGCTTACCAAGAAGTTGAAACAATCGGCTCACAATATAACATTATTGTTTCTAATAAATTTTGATTATTTTTGTCATACTTCTCTATTTTGTCATTCTATGTGATAAATATGGATGTAGTTTGATCATGCCCGAGGGACTAAACGTTACTGAACTTCATATGATTTAATATATTTAAATTTGCTGTAAAATTTATGTACGTCACAGTCTATCGGGGATATGTCGATCACGAATAATTTAAACAATTGAGGAAATTAATTATTAATCAAGGTATAATCAATCAAATCAAAATTTGATTAATAATTAATTGTATTAATCGATATAAGTTATTTCTCACGGTATATACAACGACTGATTAATTTCGATTATCGATTTGCCGATTACTTTGGTTGGGCAATGTTTTAATCGATTAGTGCGCACAACACTGCCAAAGATACACGTCCCAAAAGATGAAATAATCGGGGAAGGAGGGCAGAGGGGATATATTAAATCGACAGATCGCAATGACTCGTTCAAATATGGAAATCCTGAAATTATCAGGGACCACCGTCTCTCCTCTTCCCCGGCGCTCTTTCGATATTTTACACTGCGTCTATTCAGAGAACCCAATCGTCGCAACGAGTGACAGTTGTCTCGAGACTATAACGTCTATGATCTTTGAATCGGAGACGATCGTGAATCGCGAGAGTTCCGATGTATTTTTAATAAGGACTTTTGAACAGAGTAATAAGAATGCCGAGACTCGCGGACATTTTTATAAATACTCGTCAGACCGAGTTGCCTTTGAGTCGACATCGCCATTAAATTTGTCGACGATGACTCGTTTCTAAAATGGAAACGCCACGTTTCCAAGAGCCATATCCACACGTGCAGATAATAAGGCGGGATTAACGGAAAACGCTTAAATCGACGAAAGTAAATTATAGACGTGATATTAATGTTGGGGATGAATCGTCAGCGATTCGTCACCAGTCACGATATTTGAGGAGCAGATAATGTCCCCTCGCAGGTGGATTAAACTAACTAACGCGACGTAATTAACTCTTTCGGAGCTATCGGAACTGCAATTTGTTTCAATTCTCGCGTTAAGTGGCTTATAAAATCGTCGGAGCCGTTAAAATTCCTAATCCCCATCGTGTCTCTCTTCAGAATCTCTCTTCTTGGAATCGTAGCCCTTTCGTCGAACAGAAAAAGAGAGAAATATATATATATATATATATATATATATATATATATATATATATATATATATATATATATATATATATATCTGTGTCATAGAATTAAATTACTCCAAGTCATATCTCCATTTTCTCTTTCTCCCTATTTTACCTGCCTAACTTTGCCTCCCTATTGTTGATTTTTGTTGTCGTCAATTCCCTCATTGTGAGCAGATTATGTTACTTTAAATATTTACTGTGTTTAATCTTATTTGATCTTTTCTATTTTCTTTACATTTTCACTTCTTTTTTTTATATTACTTATCTATTGCCACTATTGTACTTTTGTTACATTGCACTTCAGGGAATTCCATCCCAGAGCGCTCAATAAATGATGCTTTCTCTCTCTTTTCTCTCCCCTTCCCCCCTCTCTCTCTGTTCCACCGGGAACAGCTCCTCTTGCACGGACATAAATAAATCATTTTTAAGGTCCGATTTTAATTCAGAAGTGAATAAAATTACGATTAGTCAGCACGGCTTTCTCCTTTCGGTGGTCGTGATAACAACAACATTTGCTCGGATAATGAGAATCGGTGAAGAAGAATAGCGCCTCGGGAATAAATCAGCGACGTAACAATATCCTTCCCTCCACCTTGCCTCCCCCCCCTCCCCGCCCCGACCTCCTTCGCCAAGTTTGCGGGGCTGGATTGCCGTTATTGCGCGATTCCTTTGAAAGATAAAACTCTTAATTAATACGAATCTGCTGCTCTCACCGACTACCAGCATATCCGAGTGGTCGGAAACGGTTTGAAAGGATGGCGCCTCCGCCGAAACTTCGCATCTGTAGCGGCCCGTACTCATGAGGTTCACGGATTGAAGGACGACCGACCGCTCAGTGGAGTTGTGAATCTGAAAAATAACGAAAAACACACAGAGAATACTTCAGCGCATTTGGAATTTATCTCGCCGGCTGATGAAAAATCAAACGAGGTCGAGCGATTCGCCCGAAAAGATGCGACGAGTTGAATTCCCCGATAAAATAACGGGACATTTTTCGTTAGCCAGGTCGTTGGTCATTAGTCGTAGTACGTCTTCGGATATCCTCTGTCGCGTTAGCGAATCGCAGCTCGACCGGGTGTAATAAATCTCACGTGCGCAACATTTTCTCGCGGCGGCGAATCGATCGAATTTTCGGAATTTTTATCCTACCTCCCACCCGCTGTTACCACCTCCCTCCCTCCCTTCTCTCTTCCCCTAAATCTCGACGAGTGAATAAAATTGTAGGTACATATATTCGCGCGTATTCGTCTTTCGGGCGAAATGAACTTCCGTATAACTTCCGCGGAAATTTTCCCCAACCGCAGTCCAGTGAATCACCCTGTACTGACTCCGGGAAGGCTCGCTCGGACGAGTTTTCGCCGGAGAACCGAATTTTTTCGTATCACTCAATGGCGCGGAAAACCGAGCGAGTGATATAGTCGGAGGAGAGGAATTGAAATTATTGGAAATATCATTAACCCAGAAGAGTACGCGACTCGGCCAGGTGGAGGAAGAGGGCGAGGTGGCGGAGTCGAGGGAAGAGGGTGGAGGTGGAAGAGGAGGGGGACGAACAGGAGGAGGAAGAAGAGAGAGACGCAACTCCCACGGGATCAATTTGTAATGCGTTATCTTTTGTGGCGACGACGACAACGACCACGACGACCACGACGACGGCGATGACGACGACGACGACGACGACGACAACGACGAGAACGAGGACAGGCAATTTCAGACGTGCCGCGACGCACTTAACGAAGAGAGCCGCGCCTCGCGTTAAATTAGTTTCGCGAAGAACGTCCGGGTCATCGTCGCCGGCATCCTCGCAATTTTCATCCTCGCGACAGGGAGCGTCGCCGCCCGACGACGAGCGCATTTCACGATTCATTATACTAATCGATGTAATTATAAACAACGATAACGGCCACAGCAGAAACCCGATAATTTCTTAGGGCACCCGAGCCAATCTCGCGCGAGCGCGCGGTGATTAATGTTAATATTAAGACTCATTATGACGAGGATCGCGTGCCGCAGCCCGCCTCATTTGTTTATCCGCCTCGCTCGTGCGAGTAAAACACGCCTGTTTCACCCTGGCCCGCTCCCTCACCCCTTTTCTCTCTTGTGTTGCCGGTGTAAGTGCCAAAAATGAGAGCCTCGCTCTCTCTTCCTCTCTCGGGGGTGAAACTCCTTGTGTACCACCGTACCTGTTCATTTAGGAGGCGAAATAAATCACCCTCACAAACGACACACTAAGGAGGACGATGTCGTGCGGTTATTGTTCAACGCGGTATTTGTTGTTTCCAGACTGCGCCGCTTACGATCTTTATTACCCTCGCCCTGTCGTCGAAGTCGCATCTGTTTTTGTTACTATCTCTCCATCGCGCGACGTATGGCGCGCGCGCGCGTATGTGTGTGTATGTCATGCGTGCGTGCATGTCGCGACAATTTCGGTCGTCGACGTAGAACACTCGGACGCGTATTTCCGCGCTAGTTTATCTTTTATCTTGCTATTTGTTTTCCGATTGGAAAAAAACATCCGTGCGCGCGCGATTTATTTGTAAACGGCACAGATATGAACGTCTCCCCTTTCCTGTCTCCGTGTGTCTCTCGAACTGTTATAGAGTTTGGAGAGATTTCAGCTTGCTCTTTCTCCACTCCCTCTTTCCCTGTCTCTCTCGCTTTCTTTTTTTCTCCCTCACCTTCTGATTGACACACGTCTAAAAATCAAGTTCGTACGCGGTGGCCGCGATGAAAAGTAGGTCAACCATGATGCCATTCCCATGGGAACGTTTCCATCAGGACGCCAATGGCGCGGCCCCTCCGACGCGGGGCACGGAATCAAAACACCGTGTTATTATCGGGGCGTCGGGGTTCTCTTTCTCAGGACTTCAATCGCCACCTCGCGCACCGTTTACGGTCCACGGTGACGTAAGGATCGCCTGATAGACGAGTAAGCCGTCTATCGGGCGCGATTCGCGAAAGTGACGAGGGTAAGAACGAGGGAGAGACGTTCGACCCTCGCACGTCGCACGGAGAGTCGCGTACGAAATAGATCTCGCGAATTACGAACTCGTGAGAACACGTTCTCGCGCTGCCGATCCCCTTAACTCGGTCGCCCGCGAAACGCAGGCGACCGTAGAGAAGTCTTCTCGGAGAGAAAGTCGCCGAGAAAAGGCAAGAAAGAAGGAGCGTCTGAAGCAAGAGCGAGTCCATCTTTCAACGTGGACCTCGCCTTGCTTAAATTATTCCGGCGCCGGACACCTCGATTTCATTATCGTAGCTAAAGAAGAGATACGAGGGCAGGATAGTGGATACGTAGACGTAGGGAGGACGTAGAGAGGACGTAGAGAGATATATATGTAGTCCTTACATTCGCGGTGACACCCGGCAGGGGGAACACCAGAACAGGTGGCTTGTCCTGGGGTACGTATCGGTAGAACTCGTTACCGTCCTTGTACCACTTGACCGAGTACAAGGTTTCGCCGTCCAGATTAAAGTTGCACTCGAGACGTATATTTTGCCCGCGCACCACGTGCTCCGGCACCACCAGCTCCAGCATCCTCAGGCCGTTTGTTTCTGCAAGCACACGAAGCAGGCGAGATCAGAGGAAAGCCGCGTGGTAATGTATAGCGAAGGCGTGTGCGTACGTACGTGTGTTTGTATGTGTGCGAGAATATGATGTGTGTATGTGCGCGTACACGTGCGTTGAACGTAACGAGACGCTTTCAGCGCGAGAGCTTACTCAAAGAAATTGAACTAGAAACGAATAATTGGAGTTTTCGCGAGCTGTTTTTGTTCAACACGCGATTCTATTGTCGTGGATAAATGTTAGTCGGAGGAGGACAACGGTGGGTGGTAATTGAAATATCAAAGATAAGTCGGGAATGAGGGGAATGTATCGCCGCGGCGCTCAGAATCGACGAGAACTCGTTGACGACAGTCGTGCAATTCGCTCTTTCATCCAACTTTCGACAAACTCCGAGAGAATTAGTGCGGTCTTAATTTCGCGTGATAGTGATAGATTTTGACACCAATTCTCTCTTAAGTTTTTATAAAAGCCAGAGGAATGGATGGTTATCGTGAAGCCGAGCACTTCGACTAGTTCTTCAGAGTAATTCTTGATAACGTAATCCAGTGCGATCTGAATATGGAAAGTTAATGATGGTGATAGGTTAAAGAAGGTGTAGAATATATAATATATAATGAAAAGTAAAAGAGAACCGTGGCTTCTACGATTGATAGGGGAGACCGGATAGACTTAGGGGTATATTGTCCATGTGCTTTCTGTAGTATTTATCTTCAGAGGAATAATGGATACAAAATCGTAAAATAGTCATTTTAAAACATAGATACTTTTCCTTGAGTTTCATTAAAATCGAAATAATATTATAATCAAAAAATAGAAAAAAACTGATTTAACAGGAGCAAAGTAAATTTTCGAGAAATTTTGTGTTAATATTCTCCATCGTGAATAAATAAAGTTGAATGACACGTTACTAGCTAGAATGAAGTTTCTTGCAAGTTTATGATGTACTGTTTCGGATAATAAAAAGCAATTTTCACTCATAAGATGATTGAAATCGAGCATATGGGTGGATGAAGTAAAGTTGGCTCATAATGAAGGGCCGGCAGGAGAACTGTAGAGAATCTCTCGCGGAGACTACGGAAATATTAACTAGGATGCATATTTTATATGTGGTTTTCTTTACCCTGCGTTACTGAGCAAATGAACCCGGTACCAGCGCAACATGGCCATTTTGCTGCAAGTTTGCAGTTTCAACTAGCAGTAATCACCTCGATAGAACCTCATTGGTTACAATATCGCCATTACGCAAAACTGCTGCTTTGTATCTTGGTTATTACGAAACAAAACATACGCTTAACAGAATCGTGCTGAGCATTAGCACATAGAAGAAGAGATTGGCTTTATTATGTTTGTGCTGTCAGTCACAATTAGTGGCATTTTCGAAATTTTGAAATATATGCTATATCTAGCCGATCTTCCTTATATGCAAAAATGATAGATGCAGGACGCATTTATTTGGCACTTAGTGTCTCAGCAATTTTAATTTTTGCCATTAGATGACAAAAATATAGCGCTACAATATTAATACACATGCCTGCCGATCGGTATGACAAAGGACCACACGCGCGCGCGCCGCTTTTGAGAACGTCAACTTTCAAACGTTCGTATATCTCGACAAAAAATCGACGTACAAGCATGAAACAAGCGCCACTCTCCTCGGCGTTTCGCTTAGCACGCGTTTGTGTTGGTCGCGTGTGTCTCATCATCACGCGTTTACATGCACGATAACGAAATGTGTATATATATACATGATATGTCGCGACGCATAGACGTCGGAATACATTCTAAGAAATCCATAACAATTCCTTCACATCGCACGACAAAGAGCAGAGAGCTGTCAGACCGGTATAAAAATAAATTCAATCAATTAAATGAACTGCTTAATTTAAATGCTGTAAATTAGCGTAACACGTGTAGAAAAAGACAAAATCTTGCTACACGAGGTCTGAAAGTTTAGACAGCAGTTCAGTAAATAAACATACGTGTCGCTTGAAGTCCGAGTTTCGATAAAATTCAAGCAGTCTGTCGTGATTGGACTTTGTTGTTGTGGAAAACTTAAATTAATTATCGGGACACACACACATACATACTCTCTTTCTCTCTCTGCACAGTTAAATATATCAAAAAATATTCAATTCCCAAGTAACACCGCTATTTAATTAAAACCTGATCATATTTTACAATATTTATATACGGCAAACAGAACGATGTCGGAAGTTTTCAACATATAAAGTACGAAGTTCCGTGCGTATTAAAAAATTTCACACGGAGATTTTTCGTATAACCCATAATTTTTCCCGAATAATCTGTGCTTGATTTCAAGACTTCGATCGATGTTAAGATAGAAGTAGCAATTCGCGGATCTAATCCTGGACATTCTTTTTATTCTTTAAATACGAAAATTTAAACATTTCCAACATAAAACATGTTTTATATGTTTACGTAAAATAAATTTTAAAATTGACATAAAATATACCTTACGCTCTGAAAATTTATACAAGAAATATATTTTACGTTGAAAATTTAAAATATTCGTATTTGAAGACCAAATACAATAAGAATGTCCAGGATTGCGTACGTGTTCGGGGGTATTGGTATTTTCACATTGCGCAATTCAGCAACGTCGATAAACAAAACGAGCTCGACGTTGTCGAACAACACAACGTGAGAAATTCCCTCCCGACTGACGTATGTTTGCGAGCACTCGGCCAAGAATTGACCGGCGGCGCCGAGGTCGAGTTATCATCTGACCTGTAATCTAATGCCTGGCTGGCAGTATCGGGCTGATATCGAAAATCAAGTCCCTAGTAATCGCTGGAAATAGGGTCGATCGCGGGAACCCTATAGAGGTTCCTGCATATTTCAGATGTCAGAAAGCAATCGTTTCGGCCAGCTTGCCGCGCTTCGATACGCGCGCGTATGGCTCTCATAATAGCTGAGCGTTTCAAAAATTCACGAGGAATCGTTCAGGACACGATGCGACGCGACGGGACGCGACGTTTCTGTCGAATAAACGACAAAGTCTGGGCGCGCGACCCGGCAAGATCGCGATCCCCCTTTGCGAAATGCGCGTCCGAGTGACGTCACTGGAAGGGGAGAGAACATCAAAGGAGGCCGCGAGACGCTGACGGAGGCGAACAAGACGCCGCGCGCGATACAAGCCTCTCTTTCGCGAGGATGCTCCAGCAATTCGAACCGCCCGAAATATACTGAGAGAATAGTGTGTAATCCACGGAACACGCTGTGCAGTCGACAAAGAGAGTCGGGGGCGGAAAGACGTAAAGAGAGTAAGAGAGAGAGAGAGAGGGGGGAAGAGAATTTGCGGCGACGCGCGTCGACGGAACACGGAGAGGAGAATGATGACGATAACGTCACAGTAAACAGGTGGTTGCCGCGAACGACAACGACGTTTACGACGTTTATAAACAAGGTATTCATTTCTTGACACGTTCTTCTTCGCGCGCGGAACGGCGAATTAAATTTTCATTCGAATAATGGCGCGGCGCGCGCTCACCCCGCAGTCTCATTGTTCGCGGAGACGCCCGTGTGACACTATCGGGCCGAAAGCGGGAGGGTTCTCGTTCGAGTGGCTGTGAAAAGATGCCGATTAACAATCTTAATTGCCTAGGAAACGATGTTTCCTCGACAGAAACGGAACGACAGGAGAAGGACGTCAAGGGAGAAAGAGAATGCCTGAGAAATTTCTAATTTATCTCGCGACCTCTCCCCAGAAGTACTGAATTTTCTCTCGGTGTCGTGGCAATTAAATCAATTAATTCACACATCTTGCGTTCCTTACCGCCGAACAGCGCACGCAACTGCTGCGAAGCTAAGCGGCGAATTACGGTTGATCCGATATTCGGCGAGGAGGAGGACGAGCAGCAATTCCGTGAGTCACACACGTCGTGTAGATTTTAATGGTTGGCGTCAATGTGAGTCGCTTCAAAGTACCGGCACGGCGTTTCGCAGTGCAACGGCTTAAGTGAAAATGTACTTTTGATTGCCGCCTTTTACGTGAACGTGGCGCGCGAGGATAAGTACAAGGGGTGAGGGCAAAGGATAAGCACGGGTATAAGCGCGACCATGGGCGTCGCTGGAATTTTTCCCGGTGTCTCGCTCTCGTTAACGATTATTTCAATTATCCCGCGAACGTACAGTGTATATCGCGCGGGGACCTCTCTTTTTCGTTCTTTTTCTCTCTTTTATTCTTTTATCGCCATAACAGCGAGAGTTTCACGAAAATTACAATAAAGTGCTATTTCTCGACTGGATTCTTTCCCGGGGTTTTTCCCCGTAAAACCGACAAGGATGTCTCCCTTTCTGTCTTGATGCCCGTGTGACCACGTCGAGCAATTTCTGGAACGACAGGGATAAGAAATAATTCCTGCGCTTCGTTACGTCCGCGCATTGCCAAGACGAGGAAACTGGCTTGCTTGTAGCTTCCGGCGGGATGACCATATTTTCTTATGTGCAAGCGGAATAACAGCACGGAGAAAACTCGGGACCGTCTTTCGAACGGTAAGAACTTTATTAAATTGAACAAGAATATATTTTTTTTTATTTACAAGCTGGAAATAGGTCACATTGTGGGGGCAATTTAAATCTGCCCAATTAACCGGAGGTATTTCTCTCACTTAAGCAAGAGTATGGTCCCCCGTGATCAATTATTTGTATTTCTTACTACAATTTACGCCAAGCTCACTACGCGTATTGCAGACGAGCTTTAATCGCTACGTTCGGGCCAGCCGCGGATAAACGGCAACAGTCCGAAATGAAGGAATCCAAAATGAATTCGGCTTATCTGCGCGAATTCCTGCTGGATTATAATTCCGAACGCTCGTATGGGTACTAATAGACGCCACTGGCGAGTTGCAGCCGTCGTAATGACAATGTGGCAATGCGTGACACCGATAACCGACACAACAGTACAGTCGATGGATCGTCGCGTCGCTTCGCGCCGGAACAAACGGCAGGATTCTCACGCGTGTCC